GCAGGAAGGCATGTATAGAAAGGAAAGAAGAGGATTCTATAGGCACTGTATAAAAGCCAGAGATAGTCACAGTCCTTGTATTTGTGATAATGCACACATGTAGTCTGTGTATGTGTGTGTACACAAGTATATACACATGCAGAGATTGAGAGACACTATTGGCTAAGATTAGCTTTGGTTTAATAAAATAAATATATACAGAGTGTGTTTGGTGCAGAGTGGACAGCATGGGCTCCCTTCAGTCTTGCTTTCCACTAAAACAAGATCATTAGGGTGGGGAGAAACAGTGATAGTCAGGTCCTCACCTCAGTGTGAAACTGGGAGCGCTGCCAGCTCCACAGTGTGGGCACAGACAAGCAGGCTTTATAACTGCAATTTATTTCACTATGCAAATTTTCCTTACGACAGTAGAATCACAGACATGCTCAAAATTTGGGGGGAGGGCTGGGATTATTAACATTTTTATCAGGATTGTGTGTCTAAAACTATGTCTGCATGGAAAATGGCCTCAGAAGATGAGCACTGAAACAAAGCTTAATGATTCAAGTGAGTTTGTTTTTTTTTCAAATAGGAAGACCGGTATTTATCTCTCTTCCACATTTTCTTCATGCAAGTGATTCTATATTACATGATGTTGAAGGCCTGAGCCCAAATGAGAAGGAGCATGAGACGTTTCTAGACGTAGAGCCTGTAAGTGCTAATATTTGATAATTGTTACTCAGTAAACTTGCGATGTTTAAATTTAATTGTAGTAGAGTAGGCCTTTTACCAGAGGGACAAGCAGAAGACACAATAATTTCATGCTTGCTTTTGCAAGTTCTGCTCACAAAAGTGTTATGGTTTTAGCAGGGGAAATTTAGAGCAGAACTTTGTCTCATTCTGACCTTCAAAGTTTGGAAAACAAGTTTTGAAATTTCCTCATTGGGAATGTGGGATTAAATAGATTCTGCAGACTTTGAAGTGTGCTATAGCTTTTCTATTACCTTTGAGAAAATTCTTTTCTATGAAAGTTCTTCTGTTCCCTCTATACTTAATTTTTTTCATTTTCTATAACTAGCCTTTTTTGTATAATTACTATCTCGATTGATATTAAATAAACATAGATCAGTTTATTTCCAAGAAAATTGCTAGAAGTCTGAACAGACTAGTTTAGAACAGACCTAATATAGACTTTGTGACTCAGATTGTCCAACAGAGCTCCCAAACTGAATGAATTTGTGACAGCTCTGGTTTTGATTGCCTCCAATTTTACCTCTACTTCTGTTCCAGTGATTGAGATTCTTCAGTGTATTTACCAAAGTTTTCTGAATTGTGTCATGAATTCTAAGGTTTCAAAATTTTATTTTGCTCTGAATTTTGATGAAAAGGTAAAATTCAGGATTTTTCACTAAAATACTTTTAGTCATGTAATTTGACAGTTAAGTGATGTAACGTCATTGAGGATATCTAAAGTTAAATCTTTGTTTCACCTTATTTGGAATGGAGACATCAATGAGAATTTTCTGAACCTGATACAAAATTTTCAAGAATCACACTCTGTCTTGTTTTTGTGGAGGACAGAGGGGAAAAGAAGGAGATGAAGAAAAGATTTGGTCTTTGTTTTGATATGTTTGTTCTGATATGAAACATTTGTTTTCAGCCCTATGCAAGTTAAACACCCTTCTTATAGAAAAGAAAATTTAGCTATTTTCTGGTGGAAAAAAACCCTAAAACATATTTTTATATGAAACATTTCATGACTGAATTAGTATTTTTAACCTTTTTTTGCCTTTAGTTTTAATTGCAGATTACAAAATTCACTATGGTGAAGCCACAAAATCAGAACTTCTGTGAGAAGTGAATCATAGACTCATAGAATGCTTTGGGTTGGAAGGGACCTTTAGAGGTCATCCAGCCCAACCCCCCTGCAGTGAGCAGGGACAGCTTTAACCACATCAGGGTGCTCAGAGCCCCATCCCAGAGCCTTGTCCAACCTGGCCTGGGATGTTTCCAGGGATGGGGCCTCCACTACCTCTCTGGGCAACCTGGTCCAGTGCATCACCACACTCATTGTAAAAAATGTCTTTCTTATATCCAGTCTAAATCTATTCTTTTTCAGTTTAAAACCATTACTCCTTGTCACAACAGGCCTTGCTAAAAAGATTGTCCCCATCCT